AAGAGTCGATTGTGATTGCCTGGAGCTGTGGAACGCTTGTGAGAGATCTCACAAGCATGTCACATGAAAGAGTCGAGTATTTGCTCGATCCGAGGAGCGTTGGGGTGGAGGTCGGTTTATGAAGCGAATAACCGACAAGAGCAGAGTTTCGAGTTGAGTTTGATTCGAGTTTGATTCGAGGCCCGTTTATGAAAGATTTCATGGCAAGGGGAAAACAAATACTAGGTGCATTGCATTGTGAGAGTATAGTACGCCATGCAGTTAATACGGAATGCATGCCATCCTAGCATCTACCAGGTAAGGATAATAATTTCTGCAGTCTCTACGTCCATCGATGTAAGCGCATGTAGCCGTTTGCAGGCAGCCGCATTCATTCTAAGGTCAATCTGGCCTTCGTCAGGCGCCAGCTTTCGTTCCTCAGTACAAAGCCACTGTCGCTGGGCTTCGAGGCTTCTCGCATCTTCTCCTCCACAGGCAGCAGGCGGGGCGACCCTGGTTTGAAATCATGAAACATTAATATGGCAGGTATTACTTGAAAACACTTTTAATGTGTTGGCTATGTCAAAAAAAATCTGCCTTCCATTTTCCAAGACATCAATTGTGAAACAACAAAGTCAGTTAGAAGTTAGAACGGCCTGAGTATTTACTGATTGAAAGACAGAGGGCTTAGCCTGAACTAATATTCCAGCAGCCTTAATACAAGTGAAGGTTGATGGCGTAAGGGGAGGGAAGGCTTAATTTTTATATATGTCTTCAAATGATCCTTTAATCACTCAACTACAATGTCTGCGGCTCTTGCAATTAGACGCTCTTAACTTCTTCCAGCCTGTATCTGCGCTGTTGATAACCATGTTCCGTCTGGATATTTTTCACATGCCCCTTGTCCAATCCAAACAGCATGAGGGGTTCATATTACATGAGCGAATGACGGCTTAGCAAATAACGAGAACACGTGTCAACCCCCCCCCCCCCCCCCGTCTCCTTCGCTGCGTTCACGCTGCTTCGCTGTGGCAGTCTGCGGCGGCTCATTACAAAAATATTGACGCACTTGGCCCACCCGTAAAGGCCGGTTCGAGGCGGCCGACCATTCGCTAAAGTGTCATTCCATGAAAAGTCGGCGTTCGCTAAAACGTCGTTCGACCAACTGAGTGCCACCCCATCCCAACATGTACTAAAGCAAAGGCTAGAGCACGAGCTCATAACTTCGCTAGACGGCCCCACTGCACGAACCCTGGTGCAGCTTGAATATCTAGCAAAGCTGTGAGCTCGTACCGTCACGCACGCCAAGCCTTCGATCTAGTACATCTCAGAATGCGACGGAACGTATCATAATAGAACCTACGCGGTCTCATCATTTTGATGCGAAATGGTTTGATAACCTGTATGCTCTTTTCGTGGTCGCTTGCACGTAAACAACCGAGAAACCTGTTCACAACGCTCGCATTCATCTGGCTTAAAAACAACTTAAGCATTGGCTTGGATTGGATGTCAGCTGCCCATTTTGTTTACTTGAACTTCACGAAATCTGCCAAATTGAGCGGACAACCTCCTGACTTCTGGTGTCGGAGCGTATGTCCGAAATTTGGTGGTTTCCGATTTTGACGACTTCAAAATCATGAGTTTACCACCGCAACACCTTTTAGACACGATTTCGGTAACCGCAGGGTGTAAAAGGGATGTACGAAGAGGTGTGGATCTTTCCGTACACACTTGAATGTTAAAGCAATTGTGTAATAAGCTCGGAAAAACACATTTTTGCCACGAGCATGGGTGTTGAAAGTTTTGGTGTGCATCAGCTTTGATCCATATGCCTGGTGAATTTTGAGGACCCCAAGTATTGTGTAATATCAAAATGGCCTAGGTATTGTACTTCAATATAAAGTACAAGGTGTTCCCCAAAATATTCAGTTTCGTTTTTTTTTGTTGTTTTTTTTTACAGCAAAATTAAACTATGAGTCACCTAAAGCTTATTTTCCGCCCAAATGTAGCTTTAGCGATTCGAACCAGATGCCAATGTTTCAGAACTAACGCTGTCTCAATAAAAAGTTGTAGGTAATTTTATGAACATTTCAATGCGAAAAAGGGGGCCGTTTTCGCCCGTTTTCAGCAACTGCCGCCATTCAGCGGCCCATCGGCCATCATCTTCCCATTGAAAATCACAGGAAACTGGTTATAACTTTTGAATAAGATAACGGTTCGTTCTTTCTTAGTTCTTACTATGCCTTTCTAGTTTGTTTCTAAATTCTTATCTAGGATTTCTTTTTCCTCATTTATATTAACTTATACACTTTCCAGCTCTCGAGGCAGCAAACGATCCCTTTTCTGCCCATCATCCAGACAGTTTGGAAACCCCTGGCGTAGAGTGAGATCCAAAAAACGAAATACAAAAACTCTGTAATAAAAATTACAAAACAATCGCTACAGCAACTTTAAGTTACAGATAGAGCTAAGCTCATCTGTGTGTGGAAAGAAGGAAACATATTCATTATCTCCACGCTATGTTTGTTAAACTGTTTCTTGTGTATTGAGCGCCTTCAATATGAATAATATATGGGGAAGGAACTTTTTACAAGCGTGAACCTTTTTTAGCAGGGACAATAGACAGATTTTTGCTACCTCTGGCAGCAAAACAAAGTGTGGAGAAATATTTGGGAGCCACAAAAAGTGGAATTCGCTCTCACAAATTCTAAATTCCAAAAAGAGAATACTCCTGTCACTGCGTGCTGTTCCGCAATATTAAAAAAAAATAATAAGGTTGGTATGCCACACTTAACGTTAACGTTTCGACTGCCCAATAAAAAAAGAAAGAAAAAGCACGAGAACAGAGCTTATTATGGCACTGAAGACCTTCGTTTTGTCTCAGCGTTGCCCCGACATTCGGCATAAAAGTTTCATTTTGAACGAGGAAACGTAGGATAACAATCCTGATCTGAACAGGCAAGACGGTAGGCAGGTATGATTCTAATTTGTCCACGTTTGCAAGAAGCAGTCGAGAAAGATCGAGCGAAGCGCATGCATTTATATACGTAACACATGTTCTGAGCCATCGGCCGGTTCTACTAGTGTGGAATGTTAGCATTGAAATGTGTTTGTGAACATATTCAACGACAGAATGACGACCAATGCGATCGCAGAAACTTTGACATTTAAAGCGGCTGCTGCCGGAAAAAGAAAAGTTCGATGAGTAGCTTTGTAATTTTAATTCAGACGTTACGATCTAAAAACATATTTTAGTGCATCGCGTGGGCTATATTTTAGAGGCCTCTGAGCAGTCGGCGTTGCGTAGTTAATATTTCCGGTGGCGAAAACAAACAGAAATCATTGTGCTTGGATGGCAGCCCGAAAAAACGTTCGGTTTTTAGTGCCGAAAATGTTTCAAAAGATAATAAATAAAACAAAATGGTATTTATCATGAAAGAGAAACGCGTCCGAGGAACGGTCAGTATGAATCCGAGCTAGGAAGAGTGCAACTTTTGCACATATAGTTATTACAAATTTTGGCCGTTTAGTACTTTACATTTTTCCTTTTCTGGTCACGCTTTTGGGCCATTGTCCATTACCATTATTTCAGAGGCCTTATCCTGTAGCCCTATGTGCTCCTTATATCAGTCAATCAATTAATCCATCAATATTGTATTAATGAGTTATTTAATCAATCAACCAATCAATCATTCAACTAACCAATCCCACAGTCAATGGTTTTTGTTACCATGAATGGAAGTTACAAGTTATAGAACGTGTTCGTAACTACAGTTTATTACGCTACTGCTGATGTGCTGACTCTAAACTCATTAGATCCGATGCAAACACACGTATTTTTACAAGGTTAATGCGCTAAATGCAAGCTTGGTATACGTTCGCTTCGTAAATAGCTTACTCTAGGCTCACATTTTAGTAGGATTGGTTTCAAAAGAAAATTAAAGATCAATTGGTTGCACTAAAAAAGTAGAAACATTGGGAGGCAAAATATGAGATACCCAGGGCATAATAATGCCTCTATTTTTTCTTCAGGTCATTAAGGCTACTAAGATTGATGCATAATATATGATGTATCTTAATGAGGAAGATTATATCTACAACGATAAGAGATGCGCACACTTAAAGACAAGTGACGTGAATGAAACATCGAAGACGCTGTCCATGCCATGCGCCTTGCTTTGGCCGAGCGCGAGCGCTCGAGGTGCACTGGACGACGAAGCGTTGTCGTATGTAGGGAGCTCGCTCTGGAGGCGGTTCAACTGAGGCTTCTCCCGGCCGTGTTTGCCCTATCAGTAACTATAGTTAACTGCTAAACTATTCACTCTGTAATAATTTTATGATTATGGGAGACGCATATCAATATGAATTCCACAAAAGCCTGTTCAGTTTCGCACTTATTTAAGTTTGTTGTTTTTTAAATGTTTTTTCAAATGCAAATATTTCTACAGAATAGCGCATAGTCAGAATGGTGCATAGCAGGCCTTTATGCTACGTTTTACCTCACGGCAAACCGCAGCGGACACCACAAGTCATTCCAACCAATCGAGCACGGCGAAAGTACCGCGTGGCTATTCGCACCCACTGCTCTTCACTGATACCTTCCCCGAAAGTCACTGGACAACCAAGCGGCATTTGGTTAGATTAAATGGCTCGTTGTCGTCGTTCGTGGTCCAGTCGACGTTCCGAATAAGCACAAGCATTAATGTACACGCGTTGAAGGCGTGGCTATAATCCCAACAGCATTCGATTTATTGCAAGCGGCATTATAGTCACTATAAAAAAAAACGAGAAAACACACACATGTGCGTGCAAGGTTTCGCAGAAATGAACGGCGAAATCGGGCAACAAAAAATAAGCAGCAAAATATAGAATGTTTCTTAGAAAATACGTGCCGCACCCACGGCTTTGGAATTCTTGGAAGTGGATTATGAAATGATAAGCACGCCTACGCATCTTTTAAGTATAAAAGTGCTTCGAAAGGGATCACGGCACGGTGGAAAATGGGAGTCGCATCAGTTCCAATGGGTCTGAAGTACGCAGCTTTGTTAGCTTGTATCGCTACCACTAGTGCCTGGAAGGCACAAATGACCGTAAGATATCTGGAAAACAACGTCTGGCTTAACGAAGATAGATGTGGAAATCTCCAAAACGCCTGGAAGGTATGTTATCTTTAAATATAAAAAGAAAAAAAGAAATAGGGGTGGGTGGAAAAATGTATTTATCAACTTCATAGTGTGCCTAATCATATCGTAATCTGCAAAAGTTTTAGGGAAATCTTATTTTAACTTGGAAGATGTTGAATTCGCGTTGTATGTAGCTTCCGGTGACCGCTGTTGTTTGATACGATAGAAGTTAAAAAAGGTATTCGGGAAGCCTGCATAATTAGATATTTTCCCCTGAAGCCCCTTCAAGTGAAAGGGTCCCTCGCCAGAACACCAGGAGCAAGAAAAGACTGTGGTGGCAATAATACATTCCGGAACATTTGCACCAACGTCACTGAGTGTACCGATTAGGTTCTTACTTTTAAGATTATTTCTGCTCGAAAACCGTTACCGGAGAGTGCGCTTTCCAGTGTGATGAGACGCGTAACTGTCTTCCTTCAACACTGCAGAAAATGTGAATGAGAAGGACATAAATAGCGCCGCCTTCTTAGATTCGAACCACTCTTTGCGCGCCCCTATAATATCTATCATTTCAAGGCAGGTTTTATGCGTTCAATGACCGGGTATGTACGGCAACGTACTTGCTATCGGCGAGGAATAAAGCGCGAACAGGTGGTTGCGAAGGTGTGCACAGATAATTCACTAGTACATTTCACTGAGGTCAGTCGCATTAGGCAGCGCGCCTACTACACAAAATCTTCCCTTAGCGGTGTGGGCATTTCACGTTGGAGATAATTTATGTACACCGCGCTCTTCAAGTTGTCGCGTACTCATGCGGTGCAGAAAGAGAGGGCTGCCGCCGGCGCACCATAATTCCCAAACCCCAAGCATGCGCCATCTATGGTCGAGACACTGTCTCAACCATAGATGGCGCATGCTAAGGTTCTATATACTGAGAGAGTTTGACCGATGGGCGGAGCCTGTCGCCCGCTAAAACGAGTGGACTTTACGATAACAAAAAATTGAAGTTTTTGCTTTTGGCCACTCTACTTACGTGCGCTAGTCGAAATTTTCGGTTAGTAGTTGTTTCATAAACACACTTTCTTGTACTTTGACATTTTGTTATGCCTCCAACTGGTCACTATATTCAAGCACTGGCCACCATTTATTGATCTCCAAAAACATAACTTACAAGTAAGCTTTATTTATTTAGTTTTAAAACCAAATTAGGCGTTATCAATCAAAAATTAATCTGGCGATTGATCGCGGGGGTCTGCAGTGCCTCTCATATATAACGCTCGTCACTGCACTGAATTTTTTCAAAATTCATATTTAAAAAAAAGAGGAATACGTTTAAGCTCATATACATTTAAGAGATCGTAGCAGATAAGTAAATTTGAGCTTCTGACTACGAGTGCAGCGCCAAACACATTTACATTAGCGATAACACTTTTATTACAATGGTGGGTCACAGCATACCTTGCGTGCCTAATCCAGAGTGGGTTCAAAATTCGATTAAACGAACAGGCGGAGGCAAGTTGCCACCTCCTGGTTGCCTAACGTCCAGCTGTGGTTGCTGGATTGTCGGCATCTTCAAAAAACTGCCAAATGTTCCCAGTATAAAGGGCTTTAGCGCGTGACACCCCTCCCAATTCAGAGGAAAAGCCATGAGAGCGCACGGATGCGACCGTTCCAACTGTACGAACTTTGTTGTTTTTAATGCCATTGGATTTTGTTGGAGCGAAATGTATTCTCCTAGTAAATTATTTAGTGTTTGCATCGGAGTAAGCCCATAGAGTAATATAGTAAACGTAAAGAGAGGATACAGGAGCCGATTCGCGGCCCAGATAGTGCGTTGTATACCCTCCGCTACGTGGCGCTTTTCTGCAATTTGGTTAAAATTAATTTAAACTATTTCTGTGAAAAGTATTTATTTTTTAAATGGCAATGCTTTAAAATTCTTTAAAGTACTTAAAAGGACTAAATAGATTAAATCAAATACGTCACAAAAACCACGTGATGAATGGCGCCTGCCATGGCCTGCCTGCCTGCACGCCGTCGCCTCTGCATCATTCTGCATGGCCTCTGGTCGCCCCTGCGTCGTTCGTCTGTGCCGTGCGTGCCGTCCATCTGTGCTTTCTGCTGCATCATGTTCGGTCGACTTTGCATCAATCAAGTTGACGCATGACCGCCCGCGTTCTCGCATGCTCGGCGTGAATTCGTGGAGCCGATCGGTTCGAGCTTTTCGCGCTGTTGTTTCTGCCGGGCTGGCTGGCTGCACTTGAACGTGTGTGCATGTTGATTTTCGATGAGATTGTTTTAAAAAAAGAACTTAACTTACGACCTTGCACATGACATTGTCCATGGGTTTACAGATGACGGTGTTGAACGAACCTCTAACACTGCAGATAGAGCCTTGGTTGATATGCTGTCTGAAATTTCCAGGAGGTGCGTTTGCACACACTGTTGTGCACACTCCAACAACGTCTTTTGTTTAAAGCAGTCTCCTCTTTCTCTCATTCGGGAGCTTAAAGGGGCGGTGCAATGATATTCAATTGGAATGTTTTTCACTTTACACGAGCTTACTGGCACTAGTGGGACTCAAGGATAATCGCACGCAACGCCACTGACCAAGAAACTCCTCTGTTGCGCTGTAATTTTGAGGACAAAACCCAGTGTTTTTATTCAATCTCTCCTTCGAAAAACCTGATGACATAGCTGGACGGTAGCAGTACCGCCCAGTGACGATATTTGAATACGGCTCATAGATTGGACCCGAGCATGGCGTGGACACTCGATTTCGGCTCGTGATAATCGATAGCTCGAGAAACATTCGGGTAGTGTCCTGTGTCAAATCGCTGCAATGACGACAACAGCCGAACCATAACAATGTCTGGAACTCAGCGCGTGTCCTGTGCCTTGCCAACCCCAGCATGGCTATGATCAACATTGGCGGCATATAATCGGCTCCAGATCACGGGGCCGCTTGTTCTGGCTGCGAGTTGAGGGGGTGAACTCTGCTCGTTTTTCTTTATTTTTTTCTGTGACTTCGACTGCGTGTGGTGAAGACAAACGGGTATATTTTACGGATCACTAATGTCAGGGATTCGTTCTAAGCGGTATTTGCGCAAAAAACAAATATCAGTGCATCGCCCCTTTAAAACTGTTGGCTTCACAGTAAATGCTGTGGTCTGTGGTTAGGGGGCTTCAAACCTAAGCTTGGTGTGTGTGGTGATAAGCCATTTTTTGAAGCTGACAACGAACACGTTTACTTTGTCTTTGATATTCCGCACCTTCCCAAAACAACCAAGAGCAATCTCCAAGCCCACAAACTTTGCATTGGAAATGAGGTCATTGAGCGGTCTTCTATTGTTGAACTTCATTGTTCCATCCATGAGATTAGCTTGCAATTGACTCCGAAACTTACTGAGAGACAGATTTATTCAAAAACCTTTCTGTAACATGGAAGAAAATTGTGCCCCACAGGTACCGAGTGCCTCAATCTTTCTTGTAATCATATCTCTTGTTTATGCAAAGGAACTTCCTGAGGCAGCCATGGCTCCAGCCTATTTCTGTGATAGGATGTGCATACTTTTTGATTGTCTAAATAGCTAAAAAATTCAAGAAGACAGGGCAGAAGTTGCGTCATGCCATTCTGAAGGGAGAATCTCAAATACTTGATTTTCTCCACCAGTAACTCGGATGGATTTCAGCATGGCAGTTCCAAAGTAGAAGGCAGCCATAAGCCATCATGGGGTGGCAAGTTACTATAAAAAGTGTCCTCATGCTCTGGGATGAGGTTTCAAGCAGCCATGACTTTAAGTTCTTACTTACACGACGCCTGCAGCAAGACGCACTTGAGAACGTTTTTGGAGCTATATACGACAAATGCTGGGCCGCAACACAAACCCAAATGTGCATCAGTTCACCTCAGGACTAAAACACCTCTGGATAAAGAAACTTCAAACTGTCGGACAATGAAAACGTAGAAGATGACAAGGCTGACCTCCTAAAAGAGTTGCAAATATCTTCGCACCATGAAAGTTTAATTTCAGACATGGTGGAATGTCTTCCAATTGATAACTTCCCGCCACTAGAGGATATTTCTGAGCTGGCATCAGACATCAGGTCTAACATAATTGATGACTCGTCCACGTTTTTATTACGTTTGGGGATATTTGATCAAGCTTTTGCTTGAACAGACAACTTACAGCTGTGGCTGTTCTCAGCTGCTATCGGAGGAGTCTAATAACCTGACCAGGCCTCACCAGTACTGTCTTGTTCCCGAAGCATACCACGTGCCTGGAAAATTCTTCGGGAACTTAGTAGTACCATCACAGGCTGCCTTTCATTTCATTCAGCAACTAGAAAATCACTCTTTTCCCATAATAGAGAGTGGGACACATGTTCGAGGAGTGTGTGCCGCCTTGTATAGCACACTTTGAGGTCTGGGAGGTTTTCGCCTTTGCCCATAGGAGTACCACAAAGGGTTTTTAAAATTGTTTTGCAGAATACGCTTGTGTTGACATGTTTGATTTTTTAACCGGAATTCGGACAAAGTTCGGTTGCACTCTTCACTGGCTAGTAAGAACGAGACAGGTTTAACTGTTAATAGCGTATTAACAGAGGCGGTTGCCAAACCAAAAAAAAAAAGTGGTTAAGTGGGCGGTGCAGCTTGCTCTCCAAATATTTGTTTCCCCTTTTTCCATCGAATGTGTATCACGGCTCCCTAACAAAAATATTTGTCCACTTTCTAAAAAAAATCGATAGAAAATAGTGTATAGAGGCTAACAATATCTGAAAGAAAACGTATCCACTTTTGTATCCATTATCCATAGTTTTTTAGCCGCTTTTTTCTGAAGCCATATTTCTTTTCTGAACAATTTCGGGGAATATTTAGGGACGCTAAATCTTGTCAGATTTCGATTGGAGTTCTCATTGTTTGGTAATGGCTCACCCGCAGTGAGTTTGAGGCTATGCAAATTGGTGTTTTTTTATATTTGCCGGAAATCGGGAATTTGTACTATCCGGCGTGTGCTTCGCACTGTTATTATACC